AACACTCTGCACCGGGCTGCAGTCGTTCAAGTACTACTATGAGCCCGGTCCATTCATGTTCAAAAGAATGGCTACGATAATAGCCCACCTGCAGACGAGAAGGGATACCCTCGAGACACTGTGTCTAGACTCAGATTCATACTCTCTGCTGCAAGGGTTTGAGAGACAGCACCAGTGGGTTGGATCGCTGCGAGGGTTTCGCAAATTGAAAAATCTGCAATTGCAAATGGTTCACTTTTTCATCACGATCAGCAGCTCCCTCCAACGAGGTTTGTAGATCTTCTTCCGCCGTCTCTGGAGACTTTGTGCATTTCTGGATGGTGGCGCGAGAATGAGGCGGTCATGTTGGCTGAAATGATGGATCTGGTGCATGCGAGAGATGAATGCCCTCATTTGTCAGAGATGACTATCCAGGGGAAATTCCTGATGAAGCGATTATCGCCTGGTGAAATAATGAACTATCAATCATGGCCACGGCTCCTGCCAGTAACTGACGGGGGGACTTTGGAAGACAGCATCTTCGAGTTACCCCGCCATTGCGTTCCAGCTGCGAGAAAATAGGTGTCTCGTATTCTATCAAGGATTACGAGGTCGAGGCCAGAGCCCAAGGACATAAGGATCCACATCCCCAGGATCTGCTTCCCTTATTCCGACAAAGAAGTTCAATCTGGGTTTGATTTAATGCTCAGTAGGGCTAGATTCGCCGTTGCTATAATGCTACGGTCCCTGCAGGATCTATCCGATGGATCGAAGGATCGGAGGATCAGAAACAGGCGCCTAGACAAATTGATAACAATCCCATAAGCAGTCCATAAGCCACCCAACCGGGAGTCGGAATAATTCCGTAGGCTACCTACGGCGGACTATTTATAGTTCCTTTTGTACAATAGTCCGCCGTACTACCCCTGCTTGTTATTCATGCCCAAATCTGCCCCGCTTGGAAGTGGCATTCACTATAAAGACGCAGTCTGGCCTTAGTTGTCAACGTTTCGATTTCAACCCCACTCTTCAAATCATCAATCTTCTAATAAAATACACTCAACTTCAGACACAATGGTCCTCAAGCTCCACGGATCCCCCTGGTCGACCTGCACGTCCCGCGTGCGCCTCGCGCTCATTGAGAAGGGCGTCGATGCCGAAATAGTCAACGTCGACCTGGCCAAGGGAGAACACCTGGCAGAGTCTTACTTGGAAATGCAGCCCTTTGGCAAAGTGCCTGTCCTGCAGGACACCGAGACAGGCGTCCAGGTCTTTGGTGCGTTCCCAGCCAGAGATCGTGATAGTTATGCTGATTCATGTCCAGAAAGCAGAGCTATTGCTCAATACATCATCGCCAAATACCGCGGCCAGGGAGCAGAGCTCGCGCCCCCAGAGTCTGATCTGAAAGCCTATGCTCTGTACCAGCAGGTATGTCCCACATCCAACATTTTGGGGACTGTACTGACAAGCCAGGCCATCTCCATCGAACAATCCTACTTTGATCCCCCGGTTGCACAGCTCGCCTACGAAAAGGTCTGGAAGTCCATGAAGGGCGAGGGCGAAACCGACGAAGAGCGCGTCAAGGCGCTCCTTGCGCAGCTGGACCAGACTCTCCAGGGTTACGAGCGCGTGCTTTCCAAGCAGAAGTACCTTGCTGGTGACGAGGTCACATTTGCGGATCTGTCGCATCTGCCATATGGTGTGTTTGTGGAGCAGTTTGGGTTCGCTGACTTGATTGCAAAGTACCCCCGTTTCCAAAAGTACTGGGAGGACTTGAAGTCCAGAGAGAGCTGGAAGAAGGTTTCTGCTTCGTCTTAGTCGTGGCTTTATTTTCTTCTCCGTCAGGCTCTTCTTGCCTAGAGGAAACAAAATGAGAAACATACCATTACGGCCTCCAAACGAAGCACACTCCGGAGAAATTGTAAATAGCGCCGAATCGCCGTACTGGGAGCGGTCCAAATAGCTGTAGACATGGACGGCGGCAAGAACGCAATTGCAATAGTGCTCTGCTGGTGTTAGCTCATGTCAAGTGTAATTCCTTGACCATGCCAGCCACCGCAGCTGTGCCCAAGTCTGCCCGGTCGATTAGGGCAACAGTGTTATGAAAGCCGAGCATGACAATCAGCCGGCGGTCGATGCGCCAGATGATCTTTCGCTGTTCTTGGGGGTGAACCGAGGGTGTTTTCGAGTTGGTTTTTCCTGTTAGGCTTCTGGAGGTCAAGGGACTGCACATGGGTAGTGGAGGATTTGTCCACGCTTGTGATCCTGGTTTTACGTGCGAGAGAGCGTTTGCTTGATTATACGTGAGTGCCCAGGTCCAGAAGCGGTTGATATATCTGCTGCCAAGATAGAGAACGCGTTCCGATAATACCATCATGGTAAACCGTGAGAAGGACAGCCCAGTAGTATCAATAACTGATTTTATGGGGTACATTGCTTCAATGCGAGCCATCTGCTCGATACACTCTATGGCTCTCCCTGCATTTCGGCGTTAAGAAGAGGGGATGCCAAGCTAGCATCCTATCGCCGACAAACAGCCTACATCATCGACAGAGGGGAACAGGCAGAAGCATGAATTAAGTTACCAGTCTATTGGCTAGCTTATTTCTTCGCATTGTCCCTCGCAATCTGCACATTGAGCAAATTCATCAACACATCCGGCGCGTCAAACTTGTCCATAAACACCTCCACCATCCGCAGTCCTTTGCCATTCACCAGCTGTTCATCCTTCAGCACGGCGTCACAATCCGCCCATGTGCGAATCTCCCATGTCCGCGACGCGTACTCGCCCTCTTGATCCGCGCCGAATAGTTCTGGGGCCTTGAGGTACCGCCACCGGGCGACGTCGTTGTACGCCTGGTTCCGGCCATGGATGCACCGCTCGATTGTATAGCCATCATTATTGATCAAGAAGACAATGACGTCGAGTTTGTGGTGGATGATAGTGCTCAGCTCTTGGACGGTCATTTGGAAGCTGCCGTCGCCGATGAAGAGGATTGTCCGGGCGGCGGAGATGTTGTGATACTCGTTTCGCGCAATCAGATCACGCTGCGCGTAGCTCGCTCCCAGGGTAGCCGGAAGCATGTATCCGATGGACAACCAGGTGACTGGCTTGAAGAGACGGGTCTGCGGGGGAAGGAGAAAGTCATTGGCGCCGTAGCCTGGCGTTCCTGTTTCACCGAGGACGATATCGCCAGAGCGGAAGAAGGGTGACAGTCGTCTCCAGAAGCCTGCAGTCTGTGTGACGAGGTCGGTTGGAGGCACTTCTGGGAGTACCTGGGCCGAGGGGTGAACCAGGTTATGCTTGTGCGCGGGGATCTTAGATGTGTCCAGCCGCTGTGTGAGCTGCTGAATGAAATACTTGACTGGAAGATCGCGGTAAATGTCTTTATTGACTTGAATGGAGGTTGGGTTGAGTAGAACACTCGTCTCGTCCTGCGGCCTCACCAAGAAGATGTAGGTGTTGGTGTTGCTAAAGTGTGGTCCGAAAGCCAGGACCAGGTCACACGAGTCGACAAACCCTTTGTGAGCAGGCCTATACACTCCATAGACATTTGGTAGAGTCTCGTCAACCAACCCTTTGCCGAAGCCGGACGTAAATGTAGGCCAGCCCGTCGTCTTGACAAAATGATTCACTTCATTAACCGTACCAAAAGCTCTTGTCTCCCCGTCAACCAGAATCATGGGCTTCTTCGCGTTGTAGATCCTCTCCAATACAGCCGTCAGGGCAGCCTCCTCCACCTGGGGCTGGCGCACGGGAGGCGGGATCTCGATCTTCGACGCCAACCCCGCAGTGGGGACAAGGACGGGCACCATGTCAACGGGGATAGTAATGCGCACCGGTCGACTATGCAGCAGACACTGCAGCAGAATTCTGTCGATCTCGGCAGGCGCCGTGCGGTGATCACTGAGACTGACTTGCGCTACGGTCACATGTTCCTGCATGCGGTCGAACCGCTGATATTCGCCATCAATAAAGGTATGATGGATCATTGCACGCGACTCCTGCGAGGCGCGCATGGGAGTCCCGACAATGTGCACGACTGGAGCCCTCTCTGCATAGGCCCCTGCGATGGCATTGACGGCGGATAGTTCGCCTACTCCAAAGGTGGTCACCAGCGCACCGATACCTAAGTAATCAGCGTCCGTCAAGGCAGTATGAGGAAGCATAGAAAGTACCTTTGATCCGGGAGTATCCATCCGCAGCATACCCTGCATTAAGTTCATTGCAATTACCAACCCAGTTGAGTCCCGAGGGTACAACGTGATCCAGAAGGGTCAGGTTGTAGTCACCAGGTACACCAAATATAGAGTCTACACCCAATTGACGCAGACGTTTGAAGAGGTATTGCGCGAGGGGTAGAGTGTCGGGGTCCATGTTGAGTCGTATTGTCTGACCGTGTGTTATGTGCCTTTAACACCTTGGAACGACACTTTTGCCCCGTTCCTGGATATATGACAGAAGGAAGATCAACAATGGGGAAACTGCGACATCAAAAGATGCGGGGGGTGATACACGCTATTCCTCTTTGGGGCATCCTCGGCTGGCCATTACTTAATTAGATCTCAGGTTCTCGAGCTGTGATTGGCTGCTGCTCGCCGACATCCGATAAGGCGCCGTCGGCGATACCAAAATCAGGCTAGAAAGTGATGCCTCAGGATTGTATCCGATGCTAAGCGGGGGATCGCCATATGCAGGTACTGTCGATGGAGACTCTCCAGCTCATTCCAATGTAGACATCGGTTTGACTAGGGTTGTGTGTACTTCTGCGAGAGTACATAGTCGCCTTGAGCACATCTAACACGTCATTCATCTCGCTTGTCATTTGTCCGCTCGGTTTACTAGGAGTCAGAGAATGATACGCCTTTGTATTTCCGGGTATCTGCGCTAATAGGATAAGGACATGCATAGGACATGACATCGTGAGGTTCGCAGATGTCGAGATCATTAGGTCTTCAGGAAGAGTATAAGGGGTAATAGGCCAGGGAATGGCCAGAGCCGTATTGAAGACAGGAAGCCTTCATTTCGCGTTCATATGGCTCCTCCGTTGAGCCTGCCACTCCTTCTCTGCTGCTGCCCGACGCGCAGCCACCAGATCCCACCGCGTGCCAAAATAGGTATCGCAGATCCCCGGGCTGCCAAATCCATCGGAGAATGAAACATTCGCACGAGAATGATGCTCTCCATGAGCGCGATTATCGACAAAGTCCCGGATCAAGACGGCAACCTTTGGAGTCCAGCTCGGTAACTGTCCTTTCCCTCCCATGAAGTTCTCTGGTGAGAACATTGCAGAAAAATCGTACCCCGAGTGCTCATAAACACCACCTAGAGCCCCAGACCCGGCAACAAGCGAATGGAAGAGGAGATCTGCGCCGCCGCCTCCCACCAGCGCAAGAGGGACGAGATACGGCAGAACAATCTCGAGGAAGAAGTCCGGGGCGGACATGTAACATGCGCTGATTCCACGACTGGCTCCAGTCGAATGATGCAGCGAGTGCTGCAGCAGGCGCATAAGTCGCAGGTTCGGATTATGGAGCAGATATCGATGAGTAAGGTATTGCACCACGTCATGACCGACGGCCATGGCCGGAAGTGACAGGAGGAAGTGTAGGGGGTGCAGGTGCGTTGGTCCAACAAAACAGTAGCCCATTGCTTGTACGAGCATCATGCTCGGAAGCAGAATGAAACACTGATTGAACAACACGCGCGGGAGCATCTGTATGTATGGCTTGCGGTCGATATCGCGGACCTTCAAATGGGGATCCTATTGGTGCGGTCGCACCATTCGAAGATGAGTCCGACGGCATGAAAGACGACCTCTTGAACAAACCAAGCGTAGATTGATAGGGGGAGCCAGATAGGTGGGTTCACATCCATGGTGGTTTTCTGATGTGGTGTTCTTGTTCTTCTTCTTCTCGGAGTGGGACAGCCTGAGCGGGCTGGAGGGGAATGCAAATGCAGCTATCCAGCGCGCATTTATTCACACTCTGAGGCATATTTGCGCTTCCGACATTTCCGGCATTTCCGGCCCCAAGACTCATGACTCGGCCCGTTGTGTTGTATGATCATTGTTAGTACTACAATATTTCTAGTACTGCAAGCATCTACAGGGTGGAGCATGACATCATCCGCATGCAGTCTTAGTCACAATTTGCTCGAATGCGCGCTTATGTACCTAATTTACTTTGAATATTTCCTCGGTCGCAGCAATGGCATTGTTTATAAATGAGGTGATGTCCTTGATTCCAGATATAATGGTCATTACCTTACACTAACATAGGTATTCTTCTGTGGTCAACCTCCCTATTCCGCTCTTGGCAAATGAGTTAAGTGTTAGAACAGTTGGATTGTGTCAACATTCACCTTCGCTTATCCCAAGGCTAAAGCTAAGGGCTGTAGTCCTTTTCGGCTAGTCAACCCTGTTTTGAGTAATGATTGGTTGACCGCGGAACCAGTCTGGCATCACAACAAAGGACTTTGAGATACCCGCAAGGCTGAGCCCAACTGAGCAGCTGAATTCTTCTATTATACCTCTCGAGAGGTACTGCTAGAAATAATGCGAGCAAGCTAATACAACCCCCATTCAACCTGCTGCCCCTTGACTGTTCCATCGCAAGACTTCATCCCTTAGTACCAACCTTCCCAGACCCCCCAGACGTCTGACCGAATCAGTAATGATATCAACAATGTCCTAAGCACCGATGTGGAAGTCAACGTTGCCGTTCTTCCCCTGGCCCTGAGCCCCAAAGGCGCACGAGCCAAACTGATGAACGCGTACGTACCTGAAACGGTCCAGATGGACGGGATGGCGAATCCGAAGAAGGCTTTGCTGATGCTGGCTCGGCGGGCAAGTACAGAACTCAGCCGTGGTGCCACACTATGGTTAAGGTTAGTGATAGACTTTGGAGGTAAGCAGCTGAACAAACCTGGCCCCAAATGTTGCAGCACGCATTCAGCGGGCAGGGATTCAGCCCAGCGAGATCAGTTGTATCAGATGGCGTCTTCGTGCCTGGCTTTTACGGCCCGCAGACAGCGTTGGCCAGGGGTCCCCTTGCTCAGGCAGATAATGCTACCGGCCTAGATATTTAAGCATCCGTTCCAGAACCAGGTATTTTTGTTAAATTCTTCCAGATCCTGTGGTGTTATACTGTATGCTGCAGCAAGGTCTGCACTTTGTCATCTGTGTGAATCATGTAGGTGGCACACGATCTGTCCGGAAAGGGCTTGGGTGAAAAGTCAGGGAGAGTCCCAGCTGAGCAACAGACATGCTAACCTGGTTTGAGAGTTGACCAGAAGTTCGGATCGGAATTGTACTTGGTGAAGTCTTCTGGGGCAATACCACACCTGGTCCTCCGGTTCCTGGCGGCCTTAATCTGTGCGCTAGTCGATTAGTTGTATTCGAAATGAAGTTGCCGTCTGCTTCATCCCCTACAGAGGACTCCTGCATGTAGAACTAGGACATTATTCTACTCCAATAGTAAGACCGGCACTTGGTCCGGATCCTCCGGTAGTGTCCGTTTGGCTGCAGTAGGCGGCGGTAGGCCGAGACTGTAAGGCCTCCACAGCCGCTTCGCTAGTACAATAGGCCAATGGAACCAGTTCCTGACCCTTAGGGCACGGATATCCGGCATCAACAGACCTGGACCACCTGGTACATTACCACAATAAGCACTAGGGTGATAGGGTCCTAGTGTAGCCCATTTCTCTCCGCTAGTGCTGACGCTCCAACATCGCGAAGTATACGAAATGTTGGACTCGAATAGTCGGTGGTTTGATCAATCGGTTACGTGACTGAAAGACACCTACAGGAACACGTGGAGGTATACGTAGCTATAAAAGGAGGCCAGTGACTACATACTGCTGGTCAGATCAACATCCCAACTTCCCCTTTCTCTCTCTACATCCTGACAACATGGGTTTCAAGAGCGCTGTCCTCCTGGGCTTGCTCCCCCAGCTGCTGTCTGCCAGCGTTGTCTGCAACTTCTCCGTAGCAGCCAACAATGGTGCCACTTGCCAGTCCTTCGCTTCGACCTGGGGTCAGACCGTCGAAGGCTTGAAGCGCTGAACCCTGGTGTCCAGTGTCCCAATCTGATGCCCGGTCAGAGCTACTGTGTCATTGGTACCGTCTCGGACGACCCAGAGCCCACGACCACGACGCCCTCGACAACGCTGACGACCACAACGTCCACAACCACCACGCCCTCGTCCCCATACCAGCCCACCCAACCGGGCCTGGCAGCCAACTGTGACAAGTTCCATCTCGTCGCGTCCGGTGACCAGTGCGATACCATCGAGGCCAAGTATGGCATCACCGATGCCCAATTCAAGGCCTGGAATCCTAGTATTAACGCCCGTATGTGTGATCCAGTCCCTCTTGCCTGCATAACTCTCCTAATCTTGATGACCACAGAATGCACCAACCTCTGGCTGGACTACTACGTGTGCGTGCACGTCCCAGGCGCCACGATGATTTCACCTCCCCAGCCCACACCCACTGGTCCGGAGCCCCAGATGCCCGGCATCGTGAGCAACTGCGCCAAGTTCTACCAGGTCAAGTCGGGCGATAGCTGTTGGTCGATTGACAATGCTGCGGGTATCACTCTTGCTCAGTTCCGCTCGTGGAACACGCAGATTGATGAAAACTGCACCAATCTGTGGGTGGACTATTACGTTTGCATTGGGGTCTAATCATTCTGCGGAACCTGTCAGATACTATGGGAGACAGAGCTAGTTAGATGATATAAGTGAGTGTTAGAAATAAATGCTGGATTTGGTAGTCCAGAGTCTCTAGTACCTCATGCGCGGAATACAGGTTGTCTATTATCTACAGTATGTTATTAACAAAACTGCGCTTGCACCGAGCACCTTTTTTCGAGGACCGGTAAAACCGCTGTAATCTAGACAGCAGGCTGCAGTTTGACTACACTGGCCTGATATACAAGAGAACCTTCTTTCCAGGCCCCACTGCACTAATAAGTATACTTATACCTCGGGTGTCTATCCCCAAGCTTCGCAAACTGCTCCTCATACGGCAGATCCTCGGTCCCCTGGAGCAACCCCAACGGATCCCTCTCCTTCCGCCGATTCAAAAACCGCAATAACAGCACCTGCACCACGACAAGCACCATCGCAATCACCAGCAACGCTAGATTAAAGCGGATCCCCAGGTTGAAGTACGGCGCCGACTCCTTGGGATAGATCCACGTACTCATGATACCCCCCATATTCGTCGCGATGAACGCCATCGCCACGGCAGTGGCGCGCCGCAGGTGGCCCGCCGTGTTATTCGGAACCCAACTAATCAGGCAAGGCGCACAGGCATACACGCCCGTCACGAGAAGCATGAGCGCAGCGTAGCGGATGCCTACACTGCGTCCGTTGATAGCCAGCGCGGCGCCAATGAGCGCGATGCCGCTTGTGACGAAGGCCCCGGCGCCGCGCTGCTGTCGGCGGTCGGAAAAGTACGCTGTTAGCATTGTCACGAAGAACCCGGCGGCGTAGGGTGGGACGGTCATCAGTTGGGTTTTTGTAGGGCTGTATCCAAGTGCTTGGACGATGGAGGGCGAGAAATATGCGAGTCCGAAGAGGCAGGCCCCGTTGCAGAAGAGAATGAGACATGCGATCCAGACGTGGAGATCTTTTAGAACGGAGATGACGCCCTTGAATGTGACTTTGGACTCGGTTTCAAACTTGTTGCTGTCCTGCTGCAGACGGGCGATGCAGCGCTGGGAGTGCTGCGGGCGAAAGGTAATGACTTTCTCCGGACCGTTGGGAAGCACGAAAAAGGAGAAAATACCGAAGCAGACGGTGAATAAGCCCTCGAGGAGAAAGATCCACTGCCAGCCCTTCATACCGCGGAGGCCGCTCATCTGCTGGATGGCTGCTGCGAGGAGGCCCGAGAAGGCGCCGCTCAGGGAAGCGGCGGAGAAGAAGAGGGCGATGCGAACCTGGAGTTCGTGGCGGCGGTAGAAGTTCGACAAGAAGAGAACAATGCCCGGAAAGAGACCTCCTTCTAGCAAGCCAAGGAAGAACCGACATGCGAGGAAGCCGGAGTAGTTATCCACTTGGGACTGGAGCGTTGTCACGAGCCCCCAGAGTGTGCATAGAGTCGGCAGGAGGATACGGGGGCCGATGATCTTCAGCAGGAGGTTGGAGGGAAGTTCAGACAGGACATAGGGGACATAGGTGACGGTAATCGCTGAGCAGTCAGTACTAGCAATTGAGGACGGTCAACACAACGTACCTGTCTTGTATTGCAAATCGGTCAAATGGAGGTCCTTTTCCAGACCGGCCTATGCTCTGCTTAGCAACAGATCTGGGGGTGATGGTAGATGACTTACCACTCGTGCGTTTCCAACATTTGCACGGTCTAACCAAGCCAGCAGGTACAGCATGAGGGTCATGGGCATAAGCAAAAGGTCCAGCCTGAGAAGAGTCTGGCGGTCGAGCTTCAATGTCTCCTCGTCCAAAGCAACCTCCTCGTCGGCGACCTCCTTCTTGGCCTCAGGATCTCCAACATGATCGCGAAATGACTTTTGATCGGTCATTGTGGAGATACGGCAACTGGCCAATGCTCTCAGATACGAAAAGATTTTACACGTCTTGGCCATCGCGGATACGAGACGTCGCCTTTTTGTAAATATAGCCAAGAAGATCGTCGGTAATGGTCGCTTTAGACTCTCCACTCACGCGGAGCATTTCCGAGGTCTAGTTCCTAAGGAGTCCCCGCGAGATGACTACGCTTGCAGCAACTTGCTGACCGGAAAACTCATCTATACGAAGCATTGGCCCGCGGGATGGACATGAATGCGGGGGCGGGGCAAGAGGCGAAAAAAGTATATAGTATCGGGAATCCCTAGCGATAGGCCGCGGCTCTCACTTTCTGGCTGTGGGATCTTTGCCGCTGTCACGAACCGATGTTAAGCCAAGACATGGCATAGGATTGGGGATGACATTGCGAGGCTCTTCAGCATGGAATATGAACTAGGGACGCCGCTGTCAGTCTGATTTACCTTAGAATAATTATAATTATTAGGCAAAGGCAAATATATAAAGAATGGACAAGGATGAAGGTCTAATTCTTCTACTAGCATATATATATAGCAATGATATGGGAAACTAGCAGTAAGGCTGCAGAACCTTAATGAATTATTACTCGTTTAGTAGATTAAGTCATAGTAGCCATCTAGAATTCTGGTAGGTGAGGTTAGAATTATAGAGTTCAGTTTGACCGCAACCGGCCAGATGGTTGACATCTTCCCAGGATGAATCATTCCGCCCCTGACGTCGGTGACGTTAGGAAAAAGTACATGCTAGTTTCCCAAGTTGCGATGGTTTTAGAACTCAGAGATCACTGTCAATTATGGCGTGTCACTATCAGCTATGGAGGTAACCGGTCAGTCGCTGGTCCATGGCATCAAATCCCGGACGGCTAACATGCATAGACAAAGAATCTGCCTCGAATGGCGACAAGAGATCGACCGGGTCGTCTCCGAAAACCATCAACGAGCGAAAGTTGATGGCCAAGATCGACTGGCATATCCTTCCATGTTTGTGTGTCATGTTTGTGCTGGCATTCCTGGATCGGTATGGTTAGACTCCCATGTCGCGATAACTGATGCTCACCACTTTGCAGTATTAACATCGGTAATGCAGCGATTCTGGGGTTGAAGGAAGACTTGCATATTCAAACAGGAACGGAATACAACACCGCACTGACCATTTTCTTCGTGCCTTATATCGTCTTTGAAATCCCGTCGAATATCCTGCTGAAGAAATTGAAGCCGCATGTATGGTGTATGCTTTATTGGCTTCCGCAAATAGGAACAACCTATTGACTACAGATTCAGTGCCATTATGCATGATCGGCTTTGGTCTGGTCACAGTCTGTCAAGGTCTCGTATCAAATTGGGGCGGACTAATGACCACTCGCTGGTTTCTCGGCATGTTCGAGAGTGGCTTGTCTCCTGGATGTGAGAACTCCTCCGCCTGTTCCGAACGTACTAATCCGGACAGGTCTCTATCTTATTGGTATGTGGTACAAGCGCAGCGAAGCTCAGAAGCGATTCAGCTTGTTCTTGAGCTCGGCAATTATCGCTGGTGCATTCGGCGGGTTGCTTGCCAGCGGGATTGGGAAAATGGACGGGCTGCGTGGCTACGGCGGCTGGCGCTGGGTGTTTATCTTTGAGGGTGTGATCACCTGCCTGGTTGCAATGATCTGCTTTTTCATCGTCCCGGGGTTTCCTGAGGATGCAAAGTGGCTTAGTGAGGAGGAGCGAGAGTTCGTCCGTTCCAAGCTGGCGGATGATGTGGGAAACGCCGCCAGCCACGCGAGCATTGGATGGCGCGATGTTCTGGCTGTTTTCAGAGATTGCAAGCATACTTCCTCCGCCAGGATGGATGATCGCTAACACCGAGCAGACAAGGTCTTTATAGGCGGATTTATGTACCTTGGACAGGGCGTCACAGCTTACGGTATGTATGTATACTTTTGGTTCTTAGCGAGATACTGACGACAGCAGGATATGCCTATTTTGCTCCTACGATTATCAAAACCTACGGCCACGACGGTACGATCATATCTCCTATCAGTTGCACACAACTGACCTTTCAGCCATCAAATCGCAGCTCTATTCCATCCCACCATGGGCCACAGCCTTTGGCCTCTCCATGCTCATCGCCTTTTTATCTGACAAACTCCGCCACCGGTTCATCTTCGCCATTATACCGATGCTCATCGCCATGGCCGGGTTTGGCATCCTCCTTAACGTCCACGACCATCATAGCGTACAATACGGCGCTTTGTTCCTTGTCACGAGTGGCTGCTATAGTGCCATGCCCGTACTGGTCTGTTGGTTCTCGATGAACCTGGGGGGTCATCGTCGACGAAGCGTAGGGACAGCATGGCAAATTGGATTTGGAAATAGTACGTCCTCATTCACAGGCCGGGGTCATGCTAACCTTTGCAGTCGGTGGGATCATTTCCACTTACTCCTTCCTCACTAAAGACGCTCCTCGCTACCGTAAGGGGTACATTATCAGCCTGTCCCTCCTCTGTTTCTCCGCCGCCATGGCTATCCTCTACTTATTGGCAACACTGTACGATAACAAGAAACGTAATCGGGCCATTCAAGAAGGGAACATTGACATGCAGGAATTGTCGGAAGACGAGCTGGAGTATATGGGGGATTTGGCACCGACATTTCGCTATGTTTATTGATGATCAGACACAAAAGTAGTTGAGAAAAAGTGAGCAACACGGGAGAGCATACGATTCTAACATTGCCTTTGTAAACTGTTGGTCTCTAAATGGTTGATTCTTAATACAGATAATGCCTTTCGGCCAGACGCTATCGCCCGAATAAACTCCTGTAGATCAATTACCGAGACTTGGTCAAGCTTTCCACCTCGAAGTTTAAATACAAGCAGATCTAAAGGACAACCAATTGCTTCGACTCTTCGAATAGCTCAAAATTGCCATGAATTGTAAACTGCCCTTCGTGTGGTTGCTGAACTAACATGACGAGTTTCTGTTACCCCTATGCCTTCACTCTTAAGTACAAGAGGAATATGTATGCGAAGTCTCAAATGCTCATTGTGTGCTAATTTGGAATCTTTCACGCCGGTGCCTTAGCTGACCAGAGCGACCTGGCTGAGAGTGATCCCGGCGTCGGAAGCAGGATCAATGCATCCGAAATGAGTTGAGCTCAGTCGTGCATTTGAGGTGACATCTGTGTGGCTCCCTACATATATATGCAAGGAGCATTGCTGTGATTGTATCACAAGCCATACGCCACCCTGGCCTCTATGCCCCTGCTCAAGGCTCATCTGTCAATCTATGTATTCATGGACAATAATGTCTTTTATTTCAGGAGATCTAATGTCTGCAAATCGAGCAGATCAATCCTTTCTAATGGATGGCAGCACGTTGGCCTCCTCTACCGTCGTCGATGTACATTGCTATGCAAGGATCTTCCTACTCCTTACAGGGTACATAGTAGAAGTACCGGTTATAATGAAAGTTTAAGACTCGCGTATGTTATGATTCATTTCATCTAGACAAGACATTAGGAATTAAGGAGTGTGTAAACATGATCATCATCATTGCAAATTGCGTAGAGCTTTGCTCGATATGCCACAGATATTCCACGTCGGCACCATCCGTCGGACCGTTTCTTGAACTGCAATGCGTCAGGATGGGCGATCCGATTTATGGCAAAGAGAACTTACGACTTTCTGCTCAGCGACCCTAGTAGTTCTCGTAGGTGCCGTAATTGCCATAGTCACCATAGTCACCATAGTCGGCGGGAGTGGGAGAGGGAGTCGGGGTCTCTGTGGGGGTCGTGCAAGGCTCATCGTCTCTCTTCACCTTGTACTCTCCGTAGTCCCCATACTTGCCGTAGTTGCCGTAGTCTCCGTAGTCTCCATAGTTCGCTGGAGTGGGAGTTGGGGTCTCAGTGGTGGTTGTGGTGGGCTCTTCGTCACGCTTGTAGTGACCATAGTCCCCATATTGACCATAGTTTCCGTAATCGCCGTAGTTGCTGTATCCTGGAACAGGAGTTTCTGTTTTGGTGCATGTGGTCGTGGGGCTGGGCTCCTCGTCGCGCTTGTAGTGGCCGTAGTCACCGTACTTGCCGTAGGAGCCATAGTCCTTGTAGTCTCCATAACCGGCGGGCGCCGTTGTCTCGGCATGAGCCTCCTCGATGGGTCTGGCGCTGACGCTCAGTGCCAGGAGGAGGACAGCAGCTTTGCTAAGTAAATGCATTGTGCTGGATGATAGGTAAAAGTTGAGGGTGAAGGAAGAGTTTGCTATGTGACAAGGAATGAAGAAGATCTTGGGGACGGACAAGGGTAGCAGGCTTTATAGACAGTGCACAGCTCTATTTCCTTGCTGTGGCTCGCACTTAAGCCCGAGAGCAGAAAATGACTCCCCAGCCTCCAAGTCGTGGACCAATGCTTATTGGCCAAGTCTCTGATGACTGCAGCGGTGTGGGATGCTCTGAATACAAGCCGTCATGGTGTTCCAATCAGGAATACTGCAGAATACAAGGCAGGAAGCTATATCGACGCGGTGTTACATTGTTCAAGCCTTTGTCGCCACAGGTAACGCAAACATTAGCCATCTGAGCAGTTCGTCCACTGTACATTCAGCCATGGAACTGCAAAGTCAATCTGACCAGTTTCTATCTATGTTCACCACCGCCGATTCCCATTGGAACTCCGACCGTCACCCAGGGAGATCAAAACTCAACACACGAATATCCGGAATAGGCATCTGTCTGTCTTCTGCATGTCTCAAGCTTGCAGGTTCTGGATTCTCGGCAGAGTCGGGATTGGTTGTTCTCCGCACACTCGTGACTCTCGTCTGCAAGCCAAGCCTCGTCGATCAGTCTATTGCATCATGGGATCACTATTAATATCAATCTAGTGAGACAAAGACACCGCCAAGCGTTGCGGGTGGCACGGAGCCGAAGGGGATCTGCCAGCCCGGGCTTGCCCGTGTCTTACAACTCATCAAATAACAGATTGCATCCGCGGGGGGCCTGTTACTCCACAATTCGCCATTGGTGGGAGGTGAGACATGCACGGTAGGTACTTGGAAGTAGTCACACTGCTACCCATCCGACTGTTGTTGCGGTCAAGATTCCCTCGGTCACGTTGCTTACTTGGATTATATCTTCTATCATCTGAGCTTCTGTAATGTGATGGTCAACTGCTACGTACTCAAAAAACAAGATGGCGCGCTCCGAGTCAGATAAGGATATCGATGCCAACTATGGCCTACTCAACAATGAGGAAGCCCAGAATTGGAGTCATGATGAGAAGCCGCGAACTAGATCGCATGGGAACTGGCTCAAGGCCTTGCTCTATGTCACGATAGCGGTTGTTTCGTGCTTGGTTGGACTCTTCATCGGACATCAACTACAAGACCTCGATAGGGTCTGTACTCGTCATGTCTCACATTATTGTACGTACCTCATTTTTCGAATTGCTGAGAACTCCATAATTAACAAGAACAGCACCTGTTACCTCGAACGTCGACATAACATTTCAACCTCAGCGGTTTAATGGTTCGCTGCTCAAGGAGAACATTTACCGTCAAGATGCCAGCCCGGAGGTCGATGCAGCATGGGAGGCATTAGGTGTAAATTGTAAGACAGATTACCCTGAGATAAACGAAATACTAACCATGAGCAGATAGAAGTTTGCGTGTTCCTGCCGAAGTAGCAGAAAAGTCCGGACTGGCGCGAGACCAGGTCAAAATCAACCAGAAGTATGGAGGAGGCTATCCAGCGAATGTAGAGGGCTTCCATCATCTACATTGTCTAGTATGTCTTCATTCTTCATATCAAGATGAAAGCTGACCAGTGTAGAATCTACTGCGCCAAACGCTCTACTACAACTACGATTACTACCACAAGCTCGGTCAAGGGGCTTTCAAGAACGACGATTTTATCGTCCGACGGCACGTTTGTACGTATTTCAAATCGCAGTTCCTGCTCAGACTAAGGCTGACAATTCACTAGCCCACTGTCTGGATATCCTACGACAGCAACTCATGTGCACCATTGATACTGGAGTCCTCGGCCAAGTCTGGATCCATCCCGATCACCCAGAGGCGTATGTGGACTTCAACACAGAGCATCAGTGCAAAAACTTTGAAGCTATCCGCCAGTACGCCGAGAAGAATCAGCTGCCGGCACAGATTCCAAAGGATTTCTTGGAGCCACCTAAGCCAGGTGATAGAGTCTATGATGAGATTCCATAGAGAGTCTCGAACGCGAAGGTCATGAAATTGTGTACTATTTACATTAACTAATGAAGAAAGCGCTATTGTACCTACTGAGCCAATACCCATGATGCTTTTCTGACTTTATCACGGCTGAAGATACCACAATGGGGAATACAAAAACGCCAGAACAGGTGAAGAATACAAGAGGCAAACTATATAAAGAATAAGAGACATCACCTCCATCCGTAGTACATCCCTCCTGGCGTCCCACCGACAACACTCCTAGCCTCCAACTCACTCGGTTGACGGATCTCTTCCGGCGGCGGTGGCTGCTTCGTTGCAGGCTCCCAGTTCCAATATCCAACATTTTGCAGAGGAGGCGAGACAGCAGGCGGAGAGGCGCCCGAGCTCAACGACAATGTACCATGACCTCCGACTGAAGACGATGCAGTGAATCCCTGTTCACTCTTTCCCTCACCATGACCACCAAAGAGAGCCCAGTGAGCCGTCCGCTCCATCCGTCCGACCTGCGAGGATGATCCCTGTTTATACCTATTCCGACACAGCGTGATCACAACAACGAGGAGAATGCCAATAAAGGCAACCCCGCCGATCACAGTACCGGCTATGGCGCCACCGCCGAAAGAGCTCTTCTTGTGGGTGGTGGTAGCCGAGGACGAGTAGCCTGTTCCTTCGGCGGGAGGTAACTGTCCCGGGACAAGCATGTAAGGGTATCGCCTTGCTTGGGCGTATTGTGCTTCCCAGGTCATTGTTTCGTTCTACAGCTATGAGCATCGGTTTTGGATCGTGGGAATAGACTTACTGGGTTGATTACGCCGATCATTCCATTGACGAGACAGGAGTCGACGGCCGTGCAGTAGAAGAATGTGGGCTGTAGTTGCAGTCAGTCAACTATTCCGGGTCTTGTAGCTAGACATACCTCGGTATCGTTCACAACTAGGGACCAGGTGGGAGGCTAAACAGTTAGCCTTTGATCTCGACATAGGCGATACACTAACCTCTCCTTCCAGCTGCCCATGGCTATTTTCCTTGAAGGTATTAAATTGTCCGGAATAGAAGATCTCCCCAGCAGCAGGCACACACGGTGCCATAAAGTCCGCCTTGACGACGGAGTGGTTGCGCGGGTAGAACTCGAAGACGATGACATCGCCAACGGCGGCGGTGATGTTGTACGGCGAGTATTGATGAGGGTTTTCCTTTGGGCCTACTTTGACGGTATGCGTAGCGTGAGGAGCCGTCGAGGATGGAGTCATCGCTGTCTGAACCGTGCCTGTTGCGTGTGTCGTTCTGGACTGGAAGAACAGTAGCACAGTCAGGGAGATGATCGATAACTTCAGCATCGTGGCATCGAGAAGGAAACGACCCGCAGATGAATGCAACTTTCTGGGGTCTGATAATAAATATTCTGTTTCATGGTTGTCGCGCGCTGCCTCAATGTCTCATTGTCTCAATGACAACAAAGGAAGTAAATGCGGAAATCATTAGTCCACGCCACATTTTATTTTGGTAGCATCTCGAAGTCTACGACGGTTCTCTTTGTTCATGGGCCTGCTCCTTGGTTTGGAACCTGATTCTATTAAGGTTGGAGTTCTACGGAAGGATAGACGGCTCACCTGGATGTGCTGAGTACCGGCGGTGTAGTTCTGTGGCTGTCATGTCAGTCTTTTCGAAAGATAACTATGCTAAAAGGAAGCTACAAGCTAATTAAGTGTCACCTGTCGCAAGTAACCCGAGTGTGCCTGTGGTCATGTTGATATTTCACTCGTAGTGCTCGACGTCCTTGGGATCCATGACTTGAACGAAGAGGTCGAGAGGGATACCAAGTCACATCTTGACTTTTGACTTGCATTATTCGTCAATATTGTAGAATAGATTAGGTCGCTTATAGCATTTAGCAGTAAAAGCGAGGCTTCAATGACCCTGTTACTGCTGTCATAGCACAAGCCGTCACAGAACGCAATGCTAGATTACAGCTCGAGAACAGATATCGTCGTTTTGTTGATAATCCACCATCGATCGCTAGTTCCCAATAGCCTGACGACGGTAATATCGAGCGAGGCTTCATATCCTCACAGTTCTGTCACTTGCTATCCAGTACTCTCTTTGCCACGAGCGGGCTCCCATTCAAGATCCTTGGGTAATCGTGCGCATCGAGGCAGGCCTGTCGCGAGTTTAGAACACTCACCTCCGCCCGTCTAAAAACATCGTTCTCGTATTCTTGGATAGACCGACGTAGGGAATCATATGATAGTGACCTACACATAGTCAGAATTATCAGTTTCAGACGATGGGGGTACAGGACGCACTCCGACGAGGCGAAATCGATTCGCCGGACGAGATCACGGACATCAGCGATGGCGCTGTTGGCTCCTTCACCGCGGACTAGATGGTCATATTAGCGGAATGGCATTTTAGGTTTAACGTGCCATCTTACACATGGTCATTGTATGCGCAGAATCGCCCATCATCACCACGCGGGGATGAGGCCTCTTTCCAGGGGTAAAGATCCAGTCCTGGATGCGGATTGCGCGTGCCTCTGAATCATCAGGGAGATTGTGGACCAGCGATCGGAACGGTTCGACCCAGTTGGCTGTCAGCTCTTTCATCAATGCAATCCGGCCAGCATTATCGGGCGGGAGTGGGATGTTTTTCTTGTCGGCCCATGAGACGATGATCTGACAGACGTAGGCATCTGTGCTGTCGTCAAAGTTGTTCGGGGTGTCAAGGACTGTAGAGTATTAGCGGCAAGAAACAAAGGTAGAAGACGTGCGTACAGCTGAAGAATAAGAAGACGTTCGAATCTTGATGGGCTCCCTGGAATATATACGGATCCATCGCCCGGAAACAGGCGGCCTGCTCGGGCGAATAGCGGACTGTCACTCCGAGAAGCTGGACGGGCAGTGGATTCATCTGATACGAGTCGGGATATGCCAGTTTACGGATGCGAGAATTGGCGCCATCACAGGCAATGAGTAGACTCCCAGTGTAGGAAGTACCATCTTCAAAGTGCGCTGTGACGCTCTCCTCTGTCGATGTGACATCTACCACTGTTTTGGACCACTACTTCGATTAGTTTTTAGAAAACCACAGACCTCAAAGACAGACCTTGACATCAATCCCCGTCGTCAACAACTCCCTCAATCTGCCCCTGTTCACCCGCACCCTGTCCGCAGCGGGGACCTCGAACAGCGCCGATCCGGAACTCAGGTCAAAGAACGGGAACCGACCGACATCGCCACTCTCGGAAGCTTCCTTGTTCACAGAGCATTCGGGTAACCGTGCGACGATATGCTCGGGCAGCATTTCCCGCAGGATCGGCAGTCCCCAATGCAACGTCAGTCCCCATCCCCCGCTTCGGATATCGATAGAGGAATCCCGCTCAAAAATGAGGAATGGGACCCCTGATTTTTGCAGATACTGGGCGAGGGTCAGGCCGCTGATCCCTGCACCGATGATGAGGATGGGTAGACCAGACATGCTGTTGAATTAGCAGTTGCCTATTGATCTGCCGTGCTTTTGGTAAGTAGATAGTCAAAAAGAATGGATATCAGGCCGGAAGAATAAGTGTCAGCCGTAAGAAACGTTACATCAGGGATGTGGACAGCTGCCAACTAATCACGTGATAGTATGACCACATTAACTCCCAGAACGACGCCTAGTTAGCTATTGAATTATCAACGTTTCGTCATCTCCACTTTACCTTCAGAAGACCATCATATTCCCCAATAGGGTCCTACCCTTCGACCTGCATTGAACATAGATGATCCAAAGATGGAGCAACAGCGCCCGAAAGAGACACCATCGCTACAACCTCATGCCCCCATTATAAGAATAGCTGCGAAAGCTCTAGCTAACAGGAATATTCCTGTGGTGGAATACGGGCAGCAGGTACAGTGGCGCCATGGCGAACCTGTGGTCCTTCTAGTAAGCAACAAAAAGATATTCGGCAGTCTAGCTGTTGGGCACTACTAACCTCCGAGTCCCAGCTTGTCGAATGGGCAGTCCCTGATGCACTGCTCTCACTCTCATCGCAGATCCTATCAGACTGTGGATTCTCGTGTGTTGCCCCATCCACCAACGTCACCGACAGATACGGGCAATGGGAGCGAGCGGCCCTCATTCACGAGCTAAATGGGAGAAGTCCAGTATATCTCTACCCATTATCGTTTGTCGGCTTTACGCTCCGGGACACAGTCGAAGTCACATCTACCTTTGATCGTACACTAAGGATCCTGACGCCCAAACCTCGGATGTATATGCAGTCGTTGATTTGTCATCTCCTCGATCACCCGGTTGGCGATACATTCAGACTTCGAGTGCAAGATGATCTACTGTCTTTTATATCCTTTTACGTTTTAGGCGACAAGCCACTGAATACGAAGACTGGTGAATGCGACGACGACGAGAGTGAGGAAGACTTCCAGAAGAGAGTTGGAAATGCTGTGAAGAGGATGAAAACTTGGGATTGGGGCGCTGATGAAAACAACTATCTTTGTATTGCTGAATCTGTCGTTCGCAACTGTCGGTCCATTTACCAGCTATCTAATTGTTGATGAGTGCAAAGTTCTCCGCGTCCAACGTAGTCTCAAGCAAAGGCCGAATTGCAGCATGCATTTGGTACAGCTTGCGAACCCCCGAGAGCAGCTCCTCCTTTGGTTTTTCCGGGTAACCCTCAAAATCCATGTGAAGTTCGTTTCCAGCAAGCCACTTCAAAAGCACCTCAACGTGAACATCACTCCATCACTCTCGGCCTTCCTGATGCTCTGAGGACGGGTGGATTCAGCCAAGAACGACCATCTCTTGATCTTCGTGAGGACGAGGACGGAGGGTGCAACGATAGGGACTGAAAGTGGATAGTTAGCGCACAGTTCACTCTAATAGAAATAGAAATGAAAAAGGGCACTGACTAGGGGTATTGCCAATCCTCTCTGGTCGGTCGTTGGCAGTAAGAGAGACAATGGAGACTGCATTTGCGTCTGGTAGTTTCAACTGCCGATCTCTGCCACCACGAAGAAGCTCAATCACCACGCTCTCTTCCCCGCCTGTGAAGATAAGTTTGCTACTCTGGGACAGTCTGAATCCGGAATGTGCTTGAAGGAGCAGGTTTCGGGCGTCACTTGGGTCTGCATCAACGATGATATCAAGGTCCTGAGTCAAATTAGCTGTAAGTCTCATTCAAGGGTTGACAAGACATAGGAAAGACGTGCACTGGTCACCCTCATTCCACCGATAAGGGAAACCGCATATCCGCCGATAAAACCATGGCGAATATTAGCGCGAGCGAGAGCAGTTGTTGTTTCCTTTGCTGCTACGTCGAGGGACTGGAAGGGGCTCTGGAGCACCTGCTCATTGATCTGTTCCATGACTGAGGTAGAGCAAGCTCGTAGGTTAGCGCCAGCGAGAGGGGAAGAAGGGCTGGGTCAAAAGATACTGGGTCGGAGGTATCAAGGAGTGAATGTGAAAGAGAAGACTGGAGAGACGGGCTCAAGGAGCTGCGGAAATGCAGTCAACGTGATCCAGTTGATAAAGAAAGCTTGGAAGGGAAAACGTAGATGAAAGATTCCATCGTAGTCATAGGTTTTGAGAGTAAACAGACGATGACTGAGCTTACCTAAAGGGAAGGGACGGCTGGTGAATAGATCCGAAGATACGGACACGAAAAGCCAGGGACAAGGGGGAGAGATCTGGACAAGGATTGAATATAGTCAGAATCATCTGTGATTATTCACATTATGCGCCGACTCTTGATGCCGGGTTAGGTCCTCCCGGTACCGGCTCCCTGATACTCGCAACCGGATACAACGCATCTGAAAGGGACGTTTGTGAGTTGACTTTCTGTGCTTGCTATGAACATTCTTCCGGTAGCTTCTCCATCGGCCACACTTCTCAAAAGGAGATTTACTTTAGCTCATAAGGCTTGAAATACACCCGGGAGCATTTATCACAGCGATACTGTGGATGAAGAGAGTAGCCGTCTAGCTCAGCTGCTTGAAGTTGTCCTTGCGTCTGTGCATTCCCTCTTGAACCCACAAAAACGTAGCGTCTCAGTTGATGAAGCTGGTCCCATTCAAGAGTATGCATGTCCGCAACCACTTTTCAATAGAATCCCACCTCGACCACCTAGCTACAGCACTTCTATTGCCCGATTTCATGGCGTCGTGCGTGAAAGGCTCGCCGAAAGGGTGGAAGGATGCGACGGGACAATGTCCAGAGACACATGAAACGGCATCCGGCATATATTGAAGGGATTGAGTAGTCTACACTTCTAGATTAGCAAATTGACATGATTGGTCTTGTTAATATGGAGTCGAAACTACGTAACTTTGCGCAGAGGTAGGCATCCGACGAACTTGGAGAGGAACAATTCCACAAAATTGGCTAGAACGAGGAATAATCCAGTAAAGTTTCTTCCATAAGGTGGAATAAACCTTGTCGTGTATGTATGCTTCCAGTTCTGTGTCTACCACCAGGTAAAAGCTCACTCAGTTGGTGCAAATTGCCCACCGCAGCTAGATCAGATTCACTAATTGGCCAAGCTTTGCTGAATGAGCTGTCTAGAGACGCGCCTGAAGGACAGCTGTGTTTAGGAAGCCGCCTTTTGTCTTAGCAAGGCTGATGTCCACTGGTAAAGCGAAGCAGGTGGTTGTTGTGACTCACACTTCATGGGGTCCATGGTTCTTTTAATATCTTGCCGATGACATCAAGAAGCTAGGATATCGCACCATTGTAGAATGCTTGTATATATAGCCTCGCAGAATGGGGTAGGCCATTGGCAACTGGTAGCCTACTGGAGGATTACTATACTCTCGGGCTGTGGTTGGTGGTGAATCCGCCACAGATGTTGGGCGGATACATTGGTCCGCTAGCTTGAGTCCTTTTGCAGTTATAGCAGTATTATTAGTCACTATGTGAACACACGATCCCGAGTTTGCAGTCCGAGTAGGTGTGTCACATAGTCAGTTAGACTGGATATCAGGCCAGGAGGATAACTGTCAGCCGTAATGAAGTTTTGACTCAGGGACAAGTGGCCTGGTGGGTGAGTGGGCGAAAATTGGACCATTCGGATATTCAAGTACACAGCCCCTGTCATGGCTAGTTGAGTGGCCTGAAGTCCACCAATGACCCTTCTAAAGGCGGGCAAATACTGGACATTCCCTGTCCTTAGTACCTGTATGCAAGATTCAATTGCAACCATACGTGGGTAGAACTGACCTGGCTGCGTAGGTTTGGAAGGATGCATGGCAGCATGGATCCAGAGCGGGATTGGTTGGGTTAAGGAATCCTTCAAACCGTGGCCATGAAACTCAATGAGTCAATAGGGCACTCTAAACAAACTCTCAAATAAATTAATAATACGGCTGGATCAATGTCTTGGTTGGTCACAGGCTACAGCCTATATCACTAGGGGTTTAGTGGTGTCTTTAGAGTGACGCCAGGAAGACGCCGGCGAAGCGTGGCTGTTGATCCCTGTCACTTTTAAACCTAAGGACCAGTCGTATGCCAGTATCCATGGAATTATCTCCTCGGTTAATACCTAATTGATATCCAATGTCCGCTTGAACGGAACTTTGTCTCCGTTGCCTATTAGGCTGAAGTGGCAGTTATCTGAGTCCTGCCAGAGACCCGCAGAAAGTAAAAACTTGGGTTCGACGACGGTCTCTCAGGCTAGGACACTGCTTACTTTGGCAGTTTACGAAGATCAATCAGTATATTCTCAAGCATATTGTCACATTCATACTTGAGTGAGGGAATGATGGTATTGATCGATCAAAATATCCGTCGTCCAAGATGACATCGTTTACAACACATGGATACAAAAGAAAAAGTAAAGGAAGGAATGGTTAAATATACAGAGAATGGAAATGGTCCCCACGTATCATTTATGGTTCTCGTGTGAGACGCGGTACTCGACCGTGACGTGGATCTCGGCGTTCGCTCGAGCAGTGGAATCGTCAGCGTCGAGGATTAGCTCCTCGCTGGGCGTTCGTTGAGCAAGGACTGGCTCCTTGGAGTTTTCGGATCTCAATTGCGACCGTCGGTTCTTGGAGTATGATTGCAATGTGTAACCGGTGTTCTTGCGAAGCTCGCCGCCACTGCGGGACTGAAAGTCGCGGACCCATATCTTGAGAAGGGGCGTAAGGAATGGAAGAGAGGTGACGATATTCTGGACATCGGTCAGATCACGTTCTATCTTTGCGCTTAACGTCCAACTCACCCCGACATTGAATTCGATTGTACCCCACAAGACTAACATGGTCGAATCACCATCTACGGCCACCACGCGATGAATCTGAGTTAGGCGTAGAATGGAGCAGAGGGTGGTGAACAACCCGAGCAGGAACAAGCACACCACTCCTGCCTTCTGTGCCGGTTTCACTTTCAACTGGAGCAGCAATGGAATCGGCAGGAAGATGACGAACACATCGGATATGATTGTAAAGGCTGCAAGACCGTAGAAGGTCGGTCCTACCGGAAGGCATTTACCAGCAATGGTCTGATTCCAGGATCGCTCGACCTATCGATTTGGATTCGTTAAGCACAACTCTTGACACTGTGCGGAACAATAGCAACCTACCAGCTTGCAGTTTATGATCAGAACCAGTGTGCCAGCCACATGTCCCAGGGTCGACAGTAGGATCACCCCCCAGACCAACATGCGGTAGAAGCGCTTGGACGTCTTTGCGAGCAGATGAAGGTAGTTGATGCACAGTGCGGCTTTGAAACCGGCGATTCCGAGTTGGTAGAATGGCCGACCGGCGTAGTTGAGCTGCATTACTGGTCAGAAAGAACTAATCGAGTATGAGCGGACGAGTCGTACCTTCGTGTACGTTGGGAGGTCTGGCTTTGGCCGCAAAGACAGTGGTAACCCCAGTCCATAACGGCTTTCTGCTGTTGTGAGCATGGATCATGGGTCATGGGTTATATGGGCCAGACGATGGACTTACGAGCTATACAAAGAGCATTGTAAACGATACTGAAGATCATTCCAAACACCATCACATAGTCGGCAGCGTCAAACCGCCCAAGTTTGATGCGCACGAACAGTCGCAGGCAAACAGTGATGACCATCAAGAGAGTCAGAGCAATGCACACTCCCAGAATGACGGGATACCTGGACTGGGCGTCGATCTCCGGCGAAGCATTGTGTACCCAGCCCATATTGAGCGTCACATAAAGGTGCTGTTGGATGAGCAAATAATAAGATCAGCAGTCATCTATCGCATTGTTTTGTATAATCATGCATGATGGGAGATTTCTTAAAAGTCCACTCCGCATCAGCTGGAAAATACTCCCAAGGATGAATTAGTTCGATCTCTGTAGACTCCATGTTTCTTCCTGAAGGATTGGCCTTCCAAGGAAACGAATTTTTTCCACGGAAAAGACCGGAGCTAATTAAATGAATTCATTCAGAGCAATAAAACCGACGCTTCTAGTCTTGCGCCCTGAGTATCTAGAGTCTGGGCACCTGTGTGCTTGTAGCGCTAGACCGGGGACCCTGGGCAAAAGCTGCATTCTTCTGCGCTACTATCGCCAGTGTTTAGCTGGATTGGGATATCTGCACGTTCAAGATGATCCTTACACCCTGGTCAAAGTAAAACATGCCAGAAAAAAAAGTAAGACTGTTGCATCTTTCTAACCCCACCATCGCTTGGCCCCCAACCCATCCTTTAAAGTCGGGATCATCTTCAGTACTACCTTGCGTACTTTAGATAGCTGATCAGCATTGTGACCTGCATCCCTCCCGTTCATCCCTTGTACGACCCTCCACTTCTAGTTTCACTTCTGACGTGTTGCTTTTTTTCCTTTGCTTTTTCATTCTTCTTTTTTTCCTTCTCCGTCCTCCGTCGCCTTTCTCTTATCAAAATGGCCGAGAAAAGGCCAGATATAGACGCCCATCCCGTCCATGAACGACGCGATGATGCCTTGAATTATTTGGATGAACATGCCAATGTCCAGGATGAGGAGACGGTCGATCTTGCGGCCCTGCGACGCAAGATCGACTATCGCATTATCCCCTTCATGTTTTGCTGCTATATTCTGCAGTTCCTTGACAAGGTGATGCTCAATGTACGCCACTGTCTCCCCTGTGCACAAAGTCTTTTCTCTGATTATTCCGGCAGTATGCTGCTGTGATGGGGATAAGGAAGGACCTCAAATTAGTTGGCAACGATTTTTCCAATGCGGCGACTTGGTTCTTCATTGCCTACTTGATCGCGGAGGCTCCGCTTGGTATGTCTCATCCATCCGATGATTTTGCATCCTACTCATCTCCGTGATGTCCTCTAGTAATTCTTCTGCAAAAGACTCCTCCAGCCAAATGGCTAGGAGCAAATGTCTTTCTCTGGGGTGTTGCTGCGGCGGCCGGTGCTGGCGCCCGTGACTATCGTACTCTTTTGGTCGCTCGCATCTTCCTCGGCATTTTCGAGGCGACGGTTGGTCCTTCTCTGATGCTGCTGAGCAGTCAGTACTACACCAAAAGCGAAGCTGCGCCCCGGTTCACGCTGTGGTATGTCGGTCTGGGTGTGGCACAGATCCTGGGTGGTCTTATCTCCTTTGGCTTCCAGCATGTGAAGAACCCGTCTTTCCAAGGCTGGCGCGTCATGTTCCTTGTTCTCGGGCTTATCACGTCCATTACTGGCGCACTAACCTTCTTCTTCTTGCCCGACGCGCCGATGAAGGCAAAGTGGTTGACCGACCGCGAGAAGGTCGCCCTTTTGAACCACGTCAGCGTCAACCAGACCGGTGTGTGGAGCAGTGACTTTAACGTAAAACAAATCTGGGAGGCTGTACGCGACATTCAACTGTGGTTCATCACGATAATCACCATGCTGGTATGTTCGCTATTATGATTATCACGCATTTTCCGATCACTGACACACTATGGCACAGATCTCCGTCTCCAGTGGAGTGGTGACCTCGTACTCGGCAACCTTGATTGCCGGATTTGGCTTCTCGGGCCCCCACGCGGCGCTGCTCAACATGCCCTCGGGCATTGTTAGCATCTTCTTCACTCTCCTCGTCGGCTTCGGGATCCGCCGAGTCTCCCATCGCTGGGCCTGGCTGATCGCCTCCACCCTCCCCGGCATCCTCGGCGGCGGTCTGCTCTCCTTCCTCCCCAAGCACAACAAAGCAGGTGTTCTCATTGGGATTTACCTCGTCAACGCCGTCGTCGCCACTCTCCCTATCCTTTATCAGTGGACCGCGGCCAACTGCGCGGGCCATACCAAGCGTGCGTTTGCCAGTGCGCTCGTGGCCGGCTCCTTCTCGGTCGGAAACATCATTGGTCCTCAGACGTTCCAGGCGCGAGATGCGCCGGAATATCGCCCGGCTAAGATTGCAGTCCTAGCAACGCAGGCTGCTGCAGCCGTGCTTTCGTTCGTCCTCTTCCTGTATTATGTGTGGGAGAACAAGCGCAGGGACCGTGCTGCACCGGGGCAGGAGGATCAGGCACAGGATGACACCAAGTGGGCCGGGTTGACGGATCGGGAGAATAAGACTTTCAGATATGTCTACTAGATGTATATACACGTATATGTGCACAAGATTATGACCTGTAACGATGGTTTACAGTTTAGATAGTTTCAAAAGTGGCGCATATCATTTCTCAGTTCTGCCAGACATTTTGCAAACCCTCCACCAAATTGCTGGAATTGTTGGATGCATGTCTCTCGAAGGAATACTGATGTTGGGCTGATATTAACCGTCTAGCCATAAGAGGATGTCTATCACATCTACTCCGTACTCCGTACCTTACAGTGAGGAGGATTGCTTGAAGATCACCTTCTGTTCCTCTAAAATCCCTGAGATCCTGCACAATTTCACAGTACCCATTATTTCTCCCAAATGACCAATCATGACTATTCCCTCATTCTTTAAGTTGATGAAACGAGTCCGCCACCTTTGATTGGACAACAACAGCAGGTTAGACGATAGTGGTAACGATAGCGTGGGAAAACCGCGGTTTAACTCAGACAGTGCGGGATCTAGACTGCGCAACTCTGGAAAGGCAGACTTTATTGGAGGGAAACCAGGCTCGAACGGGTGAATAAACTTCAGAAAAGGGGCAATCCAGATGATGGCTCATATTATTCAGCTTCACGAGCCCCAGGGTCCAGGTGCTTCCCCAGAAATAAATAAATAAAGCAGACCATCTCTCCACCGTATTGTTGTATTCAACGAGTTCCCCAGTCTCTATCGTCGTTCGTTCCCATCCGTTTTGCTCGCTGTCTATCTATACTGCCACCATGCAATTCAGGGCGCTCGCTACCCTCCTTTTCGCCGCTCTGGCAGTGGCCAATCCTGCCCCGGCCCCTCAGGCTGGCGATGACCTGAACGCTCTGATGGACTCCGTTCCCAGCTCCGTCCTCGACGTCCTCATGACGGCTATTCCTCCCTCTGTCGTTGCGGCCCTTGCCAACCCTACCCAAGCCGCTAGCATCGTCCAAGAGATCGAGCAAGGACAGGTACCAGACTGGTACGCCAACCTGCCCGACAGCGTCAAGTCCTGGGCTTCTAGCGCTGCCATGGCTGAGCTCGGCGGTGTTCCCACCGCTACCCCCGCCGGTTCTGCTTCCACTCCCGCCGTCACTTCTCCTCCTTCGGAGACTCCTTCCGGCAACACCGCGACCACGTCCTCGGGCTCTGCCGGTGCTGCCTCAACCTCGATCCCGACCTCGACCCCGAACGCTGCTCCCACTGGCGCCGTGGCCGTCAGCTTTGCCGGTGCTGCTGGTATGCTGGCTCTCGCTCTTGCCCTGTAAGAAGGGTGCGAGGTCCAGATGACGTCTCTCTGTGGTGTACGATTCTTGGCCGTCTTCGGATATTACACCAGATTGTCTCCATATATACCTTTAGTGGTCTGTTATTGTTCTGCTAGGCAATGTACATTTATGTTATAATACCTTCAAGGCTAGCTATGCGATAGTTGAATAATACGAGTATTCCAGCGAATATCTTGTGCCTACTCAGACAATGCTACGAATGCTGACATAGAACTCCCGACTAACACAGTGATAGGTTGTTCCAGTCGCGCGTACAACTCGTGCGTGTATTCGAATGTAATGCCGTGCATACTAAGTTCAAGTAATATCTCAGTTGTCAGTAGCTCTACATGGTTTGGAAACATAAAGAAGCCAGTTCTTATTCCTGCGGAAGTTGTCCTTCCACATCAACAACCTTACAGCCAGTGACAAGCTAAGGTGCACAAGACAGTCGGACCTACACTAAAATCTTTGCAAGAACAATCCCTCCAAAGCAAAATACTCCCAGGTGGCGATCACAAGACTGCGCAATGTGCGCGATGCTATTTCCTCTATTTTCGCTGGGGTTCGAGCGTTTTTGCGCCTGTCGACAGGCTGCAGACCCTGAGTGATCTCCAAAGCGCTGACTCTCGTAGCCAAAGGCTGGAACGAAGTTCTGCATAAGGAAAAATGCCGTGTTCTGTTGGCCCATGTGATAACAAGCTGCAAGAGCCACAAAATACTCGAATGATCTTTTAAGCAAATCGCCCAGCCTCGGGGCATGACCGTCGCTAAAACAAGCATCAGATTTCCCTGGTTGCTGCAAGGGACTGGCGCTATGATACACTTATAGACGAGCTGCCGAAGCTCGATGGAAGAGGATATCGGAGGGTGGACGGCGCGGCCTCGGAGAATCCTTTGCTCTGTTACCTTAAAATACTTGGAAGATGTTCCTGCGTCAGATAGATTGCATAGATTGAATTCGGGCGATGATGTTGCTGCGCTGTTTAGGCATATGGACTGGCCGGACCTACTATAATATAAGAAGTTGGCTTGTGCTCTGACTTGTACTACGACTAAATCAAATTGTAACAACATCCGATCCAGCCTTATATATATGTCAATGTAAGCCGAGGTTTCAATCACTGATGTGCAACTAACCTTCTCAATATCAGCCAGCATACATGCCAGCAGCCTTGAGTGAACATCCGCCGCGACTTAGAGTCAGTAGTCTGGAGACTTTTTGAACAGTGTCACAGCATGTCCAGAATCTAATGGAAATCGCCAGTAAAACTCGACACGGAACGATACACTAGACACATTTGAAACCCAGATTATTCTTAATTTCCTCTAGGACGTTCTGCTTCTGGCGCTTTATCATGCATGAAGGGTCCCTTACAAGGTCTCTTCCATTACATGCTTCTCCAAAGCCATCATATTCTCTAGTAGATATGGAAAGCCATTCTCCTTCCCTGTAGGTGCAGGCCTATTAGCCGCCGCAATGTTAGAACATGGTATGGAAGCCTTGCTACCTTCCAGGCATCTGCAGGAGTGCCTGTAAATGCTACAGCACTGGTATAGAAGCTAGATAAGCAAGGTATTTAAGAGGCATAGGTTAGGAAGAGTCCAACTGCTTAACTTTAGGCAAGATCCTCATAGAGATCTGAGCAGCCTGAGCCTCCTGCCTTAACAGATCTCTTTCTCTTCCTGATTCCGTAACTTCTAACTTCTTCTTCCGCTCCTGTTCTACCTTCTGCGCCTAGGTAGCCTGTGCCTAGGGGTCCTTCGCCTAGGTAGCCAAAGCCTGGATGGCCTATAGCTTTACTAGCCTCTCTAGCATATAGATAACAACTATATGTGTGCAGGGCATTGCTGTAGGCAGAGTAGTATTATCCTTCTTCCTAGGGGGCCACTCGCGCATGTAGGCAGGTTTCTTGTATGCATTTGGTTGAATCACTCCTAATTTCATCCTTGCAGCGTTAGTTATTGATCATGCCATATAAGTTAACACTTACTGATGATTTTGGATGACTTATGTTGAAACTTAGATGAGCCTTGGTTGAAGAGGAAGAAAACCATTTTGTTGTCGTGGGCAGGTTGATTTGACAAGTGCGTGAATGACTCTACCTCTTGCACCAATAAAATAGATCAAGGGCTTGCTCAAAGTAATTATATCGGCCATATCATTTTTCGGCCTCCAAACGATTGTTCAGGAAGCGTGAATCGTTCCCAAAGTACTTCCAAGAGTCGAATCGCTCGACAGCGTCCAAACTGGATGAATAACCCAGCGATGCCCAGGACCCAAACAGCCAGCCCCGCAGGTTTCATGTCTGTGTACAGTGTACTCCAAGGGAACGTGTTGTTGGGGAACTAGCCCGTTTTGAAGGGTTCAAAAGAAGATGCAAATGCTGGAGCATGTGTTCCGCCCAAGGCAGACAGAAAGATGTTCTCAGCAGAGCCATGGATGGATGCCTGTTTAGTCAGTAGAACTGACACCGCAGCAGCCACACGTTTGGTTGCATCTAATGCGCACAGGAATGCTGCATCCGAACCTCCCACCAAATAATATCCAGAGCTTATGTTCAGTGCTGTGCGCCTTGCATATAAACTACACTGTCCGCTGTCCGCTGTCCACCAGTGCGGTACCCGACGGCACGAAAGCTCTTCAGCATTGTGCCTGCAGACTTTCCTATAGCCTGGAGTCGGTAATTGGCAGGCTGGAGACCACAACTTCTGGTGAGCGTTTTTAGAAACTCTGGTTTTTACGGCCTGGAAGGGTGAAATTCTCCATGCGTCTAAGGTGCCTATGCACAATGACGCTGACGTCTACGTATGATTTATCTTTGTTTAATGATCCATGTGAGGACTAGCTGCAAGGGTGGTAGGAAGACACAGGAAGCTAATCTAACTGGCTCTTCATCTATCTGGTGGTGCTGTGCGGCTACTACGATACCTGCCAGCTTACTAAAGGAGAGGCTCACGTGCTGACTATTGCTAGGATGACCCTAGGACAAGAGCTTTCAATAGGGTATCAATTTTCAGATGAAATAATGCTAAGCAACCTGTCGTACTGTGTCATGTATGTGTTTGCACAACCCGGATGACAAGGAGATTATGCCTCAGTGAAACATATCCAATGACATAAAATATCAATTCCGCTGGTGATCTTCACGGTCGACTCAATTTTAACGGCTGCGCCTTGGCCCAAGATTGTTAGAAAGAAAACGGCTGAAAGCACTGTCATTCCAAATCGGTACTCGGATTCAACAACTCCCATTTGTGGGTAACGCTCAGTTGAGAGGCTCTCTCCGTCAATTCTGTATCTTTAATAGCCGAGGATGAAATGAAAGTTGTGAATAACGGAAATTGTTGGGCTGCGGGTCCAGCGTCATAACGTACAGGGATCTGGACCTCTCCGGGGAGGGGGTTTCTCTATTTTGTCGGCCAGCTCAGCTCTCCGGATAGAAAAATCCACACCTTCAACTTCAAAACTCTTCGGCAAGAGCCTTTCTAGGTCCAGGAATCCACGAAAATTGTTTGTTGTCGAGGGTAAGAACCAATACCCTCCCCACACGCCCATCACTGCACTCACTCCTAGTAGTCTTTCAGACGTGGACCGATTTTCAAAACAGATGGCCTCAGCAAAGCCAAAGAAATTCTCTAGACCCGAAACCGACTACGAAAGATGGCTTCGCGGACAAGATGAGCGCTACGAGCCAGGGAATCAGCCAATATACGGACCACCGGTCAAAGGTGTCGATGACCCCATTGAGAATGGGAAAGGCAAACACCCATCAAACTCCAGGCTTACTGGCCTCACAAGTTACTCGATGATATGCAGCATTATTGTGTCGGTCTTGCTCACAATAATCATCATACAATCAGCCAAGGTACTTCGAAAACGGCGTCACCGAGGGGGTGAGATTTCACTTTCTGGGAAAGCTCGGGACAAATGAAGAATGACGTGTGCAGTTGAAAACAACGTGATTTGACTGCTGGACAGCGGAGCCATGTTATCGCATGATGCGAAAATGTATAGACCATTTGAGCAGACCTCGCCTCTTTTCTTTATTGATTAATTATGTACCCAATGAAAACAGACACCCAAAGGGTCCTCTGAATTTAGGAAGTTTTTAGACTGCTAGGAAGACTTGGTCTTTTCAAATTGATAGCGAACTATTTAAGACTACAGCCTTCTCCGCATGTATCCCCTCTTCATGTGGATAGTTTTACGGCTTCTGGATGTCTATTCGTTGCTAGAGCCGCAGTAAGACTCATTCAGGGACAAGGAATACTGCAATATCCCAGTTGATCGTCACTCACTCCAAACATGCCGACCAATGACCGGGAAACCCACCGCGCCCTAACTGCCTAACCTAGACTAGCAATTAACTGATGGCACCACCACTTGACAGCCTCGCCCTCAGCGGACTTTTGCTACCTCTGTGATGTTCTCTGATAGTATTTAGAAACATGGCTTTTTTCTGCCCCTTAAGATTTCTGTTAGACTAGAAGGATGTAGTTGTAGATCCTAAACGTAAGGTCATCCCGTCAGCACTAGTTGGTTTCTCATCGTCAACGGAAGAAAAGACGAACTAGTATTTGTGTCGGCCTTGCTTATCATGCGAAGGACAGCGTATACCTAAATTCTGAGCCTCGCCATGGCGTTCGCGGAACCTAATCGGAGTACCCGACACTATCGAGGCTCGTGTTAGCGAGGTTCTTCTACTGTAACTAAGTTGTAGTTACCCGTAGGCACCCGGGTATTGGTCAGGCAGCTCAGGCTAGTGCCCACGGGTAGGGGACTACGGGGACTTTTGTTTTAGGCGCGGCCCCGCTTTTAGCTTGATTAGGGGCACCCCGCCGCGCTAGCCAAGGTGCTGCTAGCGCCAGCTCACTGCTTGATATTTATTTCTGAAATACTCCGACAAAGATCGCTGGATCCCTGCTATCCCATAATTTGGGGATAGGTTTAGGCAGAAGGTATATCACGTATTGCCTTTACTTATGCATCCCAACTGATCAGTTATAATACTTACCCCTACTAACATCGCCTGACCTCGGAACGCACATAATCCAGCCAAGGCCCACTCCTTAGGCCCCCCGCCAAGTGCTGGGCTCAACTTATTTCAGCACTCTAGGCACTAACTAGTTCACTATAGATCAAACAGGAATGAGTGCCGGAGGCGCCGGATGTAACCCTCTTATCTTTTATTATTAACTATCCTAAGGAGCTGATCCACATTGGAGGATTTTTCCCCATCCTTGGGTCTGTCCTATGCGAAGGCCAGCTGCCAAGCAGGGCTATGCCACAAACATGCAATGGAGGACAAGTGTTTTTCGCCACCGAATATGGGCTAGGAGTTAGGGCCGGGAGAACCCTGCATGGCAGGCTTGGTTAGCATGGGATCTGCAAGCCTCACAGGAGGTTCTTTTATTAATGTGTATAATTCAATGAAACCAAGAATTAGTATCATGACCAAGGTCCTTTTCGCAAACTTGCCTGGGCCATTGGCAGTTCTCGATCACCACCTCTTTTACTCCAGACAATACTTTAAGCAGATTAAGGAACCGTGTTTACCCAGGAATGTACCATGAAAGAAACTGTGATGGAGATTAAGGTGATTGCATAATTTGCATAAAAGTGCTGTCTGAGTAAAAGGATCCGTGTGTATCCTAGTGCCTTTACTATCCATGACCTTCCAGTTTAGTCGTATCCTCAGAGAAGGAGACAAGGGTAAAACAAGAAGAAAGACATCCCCCGCATTCTCACGGGGGCACTTTCCTGATCGGTGGCCTTATACGCCACATCTATCAGATCTCCGAGTACCTTACCTTGCGGCGGCGTCTTAGTCGAGTCAGACGCGCAGGAGGTATTTGGGGCTATGTCTGCTACGTGCATAGTGCGCATGGACATGACATGACTCGTGGCGTTGTCATTATTCCGGGCACGATCCACATACCTCACGAGATCTGATAGGCGATTCCAACAAATCAGAAAGCTATCCTGGACGCCTTATAACGTATGTACCACTATTCTGAAGTACTTCATTGAATTCATAAAGGGGTCTATGTTTAAATTGCCAAGTCTACGAATAAAATAAGTTGGAACAGATTTCCTAGCAGGAAGCTGTCTGGCTCCTCTTTCTAGGCTTGATTGACGGTGGAAGACTGCGGTTCATCGAATGTACGCATCAAAGCAGATGGTATCCTGTGAGTAAGACAATTCACATATCAGAAGAGATGGACCTGAACCCAGGCCAACAGATGTAATACTGGAGAGGGGTCAAAAAAGACTGCATTACAACGAGTCCATGCTGGCAACGCCATTGGTTAATGTTACCTTTTTTTGTTGGCCCTATTATAGTCCTGTACTTGAGAACCCCGGTCCGCAGGCTTACTCTGATCCTTGCACTTGCTGTAGCATCGTGTCAGTTGTCAATCCACTAAATTGCTGAGATAACTCGGGCTGTTGGTGATCAACAGGCTGTTAGAACAACTCAAGCTGACTGCATTCATCTCCACAAATCTCCGCACCTCGACTTTCTCCTTCTCAGTGCTTTTGCAGGGTGGAGCATGACAGCCATGCAGGGGTGATACTATACAGTCTCTTCAGCAGAAGGAGTAATCAATATCCTGGTTAACTCTTAGGTAACTGAACTGGGAAGATGACTTGACCTTTGCTTCGAAGAGGTATAAATACCTCCATGTTTTCTCCAGAAACTCATTACTCTTGGACAACCAAGCCTTCCTCAACAATCGACTTCAATCAAAACACCTCATTTCAATATACAATAACTCTTCCATCATGAAGTTCACAGCTCTCCTCTGCACTCTCATGGCTGCCACTGCCGTAAGTGCGTCCACAGTCCCTCGAGACGAGTTCCAGATCCAGGACACCTGCGGTGCTGGCTATGGCGGTGACCAAAGGCGTACGAACAGTCCTTGCAATGCCTCGAACGGAGATAGGCATTTCTGCGGCTGCGACAGGACTGGTGTGGTATGTTAACATCTCCCGGTTGGAATCAGACCAGTTTTGCTCATGGTTATTCGTGTGAAAAGGTCGAGTGCCGAGGTGGTAGATGGACAGAGATCCAAGACTGTCGTGCTTCCACATGCCACGGTACCAATGATGGCGCAGCCAGGTGCTAGAATGGTTACAATTGGGTTGGAATGGTATGTGACCAATCTACAGCAGGGTTATTGGGCCAGCATCACTGATGTGTCTCCGCGTTGTATAGATCCAGTGTGGAAAGGAGGGTGAGGTATCGTTGGAAGGATTCAACATCAACCAACTTGCTGGCTTCTCCGTGAAATTCATATCTGTACTACGTTAACCAATGTAGTACTCGTCGCTCATTAGTTCTAAACAAGTTTACATGTCCTTACACTTCTGGTAGGCCAGCTACTTGACAGTTTTGACCCCTAGTAAGCTTCGCTGAGTAGTAATTGGCTCTGTAATTATCTTAAGTTCGTTACGAGATGTGGATAGTTTGGAGATTGTGGGGGCTTCTCCAATGAAACACTTCAGACACTCACTAATAAAGTACTGGAAAATAATCATTATTCATTGGAAAGATCTATTTCTGTAATTATTCACATACGTACCATCTTGATGCATAGACATCATTGCTACCCACTACCGCCGAGCCCTAATCAGGATATCATCGAAAGGCAGATTTCTATCCTTTTTGCCGATAACGCCGTGGTGTCCCAATTACACCCCTCACTACTTCTTCCCCAACTTCTCCATCTCGTGCGGCCGATATTCTCCTCCCAGCTGCATCCTTTTGTTTGCCATCACGATGCGACCCTGACCTGCGCTTAGGTCCGTCAGAAGGGAAGTCTCCGTATAGACGACGCTCACCAGATCTCGTAGTAGTGTACTCTCGATCAAGACCATACGCTAAAACCCTTTCCCTGTCTTCTCGGTATTTGGATGGCATTATTCCCGCATGCGTCTGCCACTCTCTTCTTTGCCTGTCTATAGATCTCTCGATGTCTTCGAGAGCTTTGTCCTGACCGCCTCATCGCTAGTCAACAAGTCTCTCAGGACAGAAAGCCGAACTGCGCATTTTGCGTCTTCATCAGGGGAGAGAAGAGCTGGGTCAGCATGTTGTGATGACGCAGAAGAATACGGGACGGAACTCTCTGGTGATGGTGGCGGTAGTGGTTTTTTCCTTATGGCAACAGTTACCTCGTCGTCTGTATCTTCTTCTGGAGCGGTCACGTAGCCATCTTCAGCGTGGCCTTCCAGGGGGAAGGATGATGCTGTAATGGCAGAATTTGTTTGGACGGAGTCAGCAGACGAGGGATATCCGCTTTCGATATAGACTCTCCATCTATCTACGCGGCGCTGACGCGGCTCATAGTCAGAGCTGCTGGCTTGGGAATCTTGGTATGTATTGTAGGTGGAGCCTCTTTCGTAATGAGCGAAACGGACAACAGGTTCTTCAGCAGGAACAGGAAGAGGAGGAAGAGGAGGAAGAGGAGCACGACGAGGAGGAAAGAATTCCGTCGAGAGAGAGCCTGGTGGTGGTATTTCCTGGGGCACAATATGCACGATACCACTGCGCAGCGTTCGATAGAAATCGGCCAGTGGTGAGCTAGGCAGTCTCATGTCCCACATAGCCATCCTCAAGTGTCCTCGCAGACATGCGATCAAGGCGAGCGGCAACGAAATAGGCACTGGATACCTGTTCATAGGCGACGGCCAGACGTCAAGTAGCTCGGCGTCCGAGAAGACTGTCGGGAAATCAAAATAAAACTGCTCGAATTCAGGTTCACCTTCAATATATGGTAGCGGCGCCAGAACCTTTTTAGACGACAAGTCCACCATGAATTGCTTCGCAAGCACTTCGGGGTCATCGCAGTCGAATATTCTGTATCTATTGCATATAAATCGAAAGCCATCTTCTTGCATATACAGGATGGAGATGACGCAAGAAAGAAGCTTGCCTCTTTTTTGGCAAATCTCATTCAGCAACCTGTCCAGTGAGATGCAGGCGTCCATTCTTGTACGGCTCCATTCCATCCAGGTACCGTCTTCGGGTGCATTTTCTTTCAGATTCAGCAAGGATCGTTCCAGATCCTGTTTTTCCCTCTGTGTGAGGACATCCAAGTTCTTACTAAACTTTTCTGTCGTCTCAGCGAAGGTCCTTAAATTTTTCGAGTAAAATAAATGGCTCAATATGTCGTAGTCAAGCGGCGGGTCGTTGAAAAGAAACGACTGCGGAGTAATTTTAAGTCTCAAAACCGCGAGCACAAGAGTATGTAAACTGGACCGAGTCATCCAGATTTTTCCTTTCCCCTTGCGCGAAATAACTGGATAGCTTTGAGCAGCATCACGGGGCATCTGGTGGAAGATGGCTTGGTTGGGGGCTACGATTTCCTTCAGCTTCAACACTCGCGGCAGTTTGATACCCAGCTCTTGCATCAGTCTTCTTTGTTGAGACGGTAGACTGTCCATTGGTTTCTGGTCCCAGATCCAGATCTTATGAGAATTATCCTCACCAGAATCACGTCGGTGCGCCGAAGTATGCACAGTTAGCATGGTATCTGGCGTCTCAAGGTCATAATGCTCTTTGCCATCAACGCTAACCAGATAGCCAAGATATAAGGCAACCAACGATAGAATAGCCATATCGTCGCCACGTAGAAAAGAATCCGATACTTTGGCCATGTGCTGTACGGAATGCATGCGAAACACCACTCTATCCACCGCTTCTGGACCAGACTCGACATCTTCCTGCCGTAAAGGCGAAGCGACAATATGTTCCAGTCCGCCGCGAATGCCAAAGATGGCCCAACGCCCAAACTCGTCCATCTCTGTCTCCTCTGCTTCACCAACAAACAGGCCCTTGTCGGGCCGGTTCGTTTGATCCGAGTACCGGTCGATTATTCCCAGCAGCAACAACCAACCGCGATGGACAGGCAGTAAGGCTTCTTGACGGGCGAAGGTCAATTTCCCCTTGGTACCTGCTGGCTTGATGTTGTATATCTGTAGGACATTTGCAAAATTTACCCACCCCGTCAAAGATAGTAAAACATGTGTTCCAAACCCCTCTCAGCGCTGCCTTGCAGCAACCGTAAGCTGCGACCATGTTGGAGGGTCTGCCAGGTCGAGCACACTGTATGATCGAAAGAACCGCCTCCCCGGCCATAGCGGGTATCCCGCTGTTATGTACGTCTTATGAGGGTCATGCACCTTGTTGAGCGCAATATGGCGCTCTGTTTGCGTCTGTCGGTAGAGAACATAGACAGGCAAAATGCCGGCGAGCGCAATAATTCCAAGGACAGCAGCTATCCAAGTGCCCACCACCCCCAACAGGTCCAAGTTGTCCGCCATCAAGAACGAAAAAGCAGATGCGAGAAGTCGGGGACAAGTAGGAAGGGTTAGAAAAGAAGCAGGGCCTACGCGCCGCACTGGAGGAGTTGCAGACCTCAGCTAACGGAAGATGCCAACAAATCATGCGGGGGTGGCAGCCAATGCAAAACAGGTTAGATTGGTTGGTGATATAACATAAAAGAAGCGAACTTGTCGGATGTCAAGAATACAGCCGAGATGTAGAGAATCACTATCCATATACGAACAAGGGGCGGCAATTTGGGTAGTTAATGTAAAGGCATCTACAGTATTTTCTCAAGAAAGCATGCCAGAACACTCTCAAACAACTTTTGACTACCTCTTCAAAAGACTGGCGAGATGACAGTACTGCGCATAGTCAACCAACAATATCGGACTCTCCGTTCCCATTAAGAGAATGTTTTCCCCTATCCAAATAGCAACGTTGAATCTAAATACGAAGATTATGTTTTATTCCTGTTGACATGTGCCTATGCAGATGTTGTCAGCAGCTCTGCTGTTACCATCAGAATAACAACATATGGTAGATTTTCCTTACTGGACATTACGGACTTAAATATTAGAACTATCATCATCTTTGCTCCTCGTTGAAACTTTTGCAACATCCATCCTTTCACTACAGGCACCGGGGTGGACGCCCTGTACGATTTGTTACGGCATACAGCAGGTGAATACGCTGTCCTCGCTTTTGCAAGCATATTGGAACGCGGGGTAGCCTTTGCATTGAATTTAGGATAGTTCCTATTGATTTCCTTGCCGGGAGATCGATCAACACACTGAGGATATATAAGATAAGTCACGATGAGTTTAGGAAAGGGACTAGTGGATGGCCTGTAGCAAACATCCTGTAACCTTAGTCTCAATGTGTTAAATGTTTGTAGAGTCAGGGACGATATCTTCCACAGTTACCGAGAGTAGTCGAATGAATCCAGCGCTGGCTCTTGAGATACGCGGATAAAGAGTATTGAGCGAACAGAGATTCCAGAAGGTTCCTGGTGCCTGAGTTCAGCAGTACGGAGTACTTCAGGCCAAAACAAACATTTGTCAGCTAATAAATCCTGTGAGTATGGCCTTTGCAGCTAGCCGAAAAATAAACTGAAACAAGTGCGGGATATCAGAAATTCAGAATCATAGACATACCAGAAATTAGTTAGACTTATTTACCTTACCAGTAAACTTACTAGTACACTACATAAACTACTTGTGTTAGAGGAGCTATGCTATCTAATTCTCAAATTATGATTTTTACTTATTATTATATCTACCTAAGTAGGCTAAGTTACTATATAAGCTACTCCTATTCTACCTAAATACTTTCTAGATTAGAGTCTAAAGTCTATAGCTAGACTATAAGATATTGAGGCGTTAGATCTGCTATCACGCTACTTTAGCTACTAGGTAACTAGGATTACAAATCCATCTCGTATTGAGCTTTGAAATTGGCTGAAGTCGGAGATAACGGTCTCTCATGCTCCGTCCGAACGTCATCGTCATCAAGATCGAGCGCGTCGCAACGAGGAATATAAATCTAATCATCGTCCTGAGCCACTCCCTAATTCTCCATCTCCAATGCTCCGAAATACCTTCATCCGCAGCGTACAGCTCTCTCGCAAGATGTCTTCATTCACTCAGCCGATGCCAGTAGTCGCCTGTGGCAGAATAACCGCGACCGGGAAATCAGTCTCCCAGCACCTGCTGCCTGAATATGAAGGTTCTTGATATACATTCCCGAAATAAACAAAGCATGATGTTAATGCTCCTCAGTCATCCACTTCATCCAGTCAGTTGAGGCCGCAGAGGTTGAGCTCCCGCATCTGCTTGCAGGTCGCGATCCTCAGTCTCGGAACCCCAATGAGGTCGGAACCCACGATTACAGCCGGCCGCCTCGCGCGGTGATCTTCGGTCGCGGCTATGAGCCTCAGCAGGTTGAAGAGCTTAAGAAGAAGTTCGCGGGTGTTGCTAAAGAACCTGTTGCTTGGGTGAGGGGGAACCCAGCAGATGTGCCTGCCGGGGGCCCTGGGCCTGACTATGCTCAGAATGTCGCGGCGGATATGAAGAAGTTGCTTGAAAAATGGAGGGATGCGGGAGCCAAACATGAGGAGATTTTTGTGTACTAGTTGCTTTGTCGGGGGGAGGTTATCTAGTGCCTTGCCGTCTGCCAGTTTGACCTGACACAAACACCGATCAAGGACCGGTATCAAGGATATATGTAAGTGGTCTTGGACTTCGCTAGTTGGTTCCCTGGGGCTTCGATCTTTTGGCAGTCGATGTGCTTCTTCTGGACGAGGCATAGAATGAGAATAGGAGATTGAGCATTCAAATGCTTACACCAAAATCCATACATTAAAGCTGATGTTTCTTCCGCGACATGGGAAGTATCATGGCTGTTCACTTTCCACTTCGCTAGTTCAAGTGAACAATTCTACTTTCTGGAGTATAGTATTATTCCTGAGCTATATCTGTAGATAGCTGGGGGAAGGAAGGATGTAAACTAATAGATTTGTGCAGAATAGTGACGGCAACATCGAGAGTGTAAGCAAGTAAGATTCAGATTTCGAACATATAACTGCGGCATAGACGGGCTTTGTCTGAGCGATTGCCTTGATCTTCAACTTGAGGCCCGGGTACAGCAAAAACAGTCCCTCCACCGGCTTATAGAATGCACGGTTCGAATATAAATATCAGCGACTCTTCATCTTTTACACGTCTAGGGAAACATGATCAGCATATTAAGAGAAAAATTAATCTAGCCATACGAACTACAGCAGTTATTGCTCCTTGTGACTACCAGCTGATATCGGCCTTACGAAGAACCAATCTCAGTTATTGTGGTTTATATTAACATTTAGAACCAGATTGCAAGGCTTTGAAGGCCCGAAAGTGACAGGAATACCCGTACGTATACCGCAAGCAGACTGAAGTACAGGGAATGACATCAACAGAGAAGAGGAAATCCTCCGAGTAACAAACGACACACAGCATTCCATTTCAAAGAGGTTCCCAGTAATTAATGCCATCCGACAACTCTGCCCTCACCGATATACAGAGGCAACTGGACGCATGGTTCCACGAATGCGAGCATTGATATTCTCAACTTTCGGGTTAGACCACCTGATAGGTCTAGATGCTTTTTCCGTTCTTGTAGATGCCGTAGGGCCTGGCCTTCTTGCACCATCCGAGATGCTTGCCGTTGTCGCCCACGTGCTCAATGTCACAGTCCGGCTGAAAGGTGGGAGTAGCCGAAGGACTGGCAGTGGATGAGGCTATATGGCTGGAAGATGCCGCATAAGAGGAAGATGCCGCCGGAGTAGAAGAAGGAGTGGGAGTAGAGGCACCGGGGGCGGCCAGGGCAGAGCCGATGAAGGTGAGAGCAATAATGCTAAACTTCATTTTGATGACCGGCTAGATAGAGCTGATACTTAACAGAAGAATGAGTTGACAAGGATGATATTGGGCAGGTTTACACGCGGGGGTGGAACTGTAGTGACATTTATAATGGTCTGGGATAGTTGGAGCTGCCGTTGTTCTATCCACTTGCACTCGAACCAGAAATACCAAAGACTTCAAGCCTTAATATCGACCCACGTGTGCAACAAGACGATTGCCATTGAGGTCAGATGTGGGACAGGGCAAGGGCTGGCCGATCCAATTCCCAACGACCGGACTTTACCTTTTTTGAGTCTGCTTACTTTGTGATTATTGGCGGAGGGCAGTAGCATATAGAATAACGATCTGCAACAAAGGTGAGAGTCCAGACCTTACCAGGGCTGATGCAATTGAGAACCAAACTTGCCTCGATGCATTCATACCAGTTCCACAAAGAACAATCATTGATACTCCACTCTCCAGGGCACTGAGCAACAGCAAGGTTTGTACCAAATTACCAGCCGGATGCTTGCCTGTTCTTAGAGGCCGCCACTCCCGTACTGAATTGCAGAACCCTAAAATTGGTCATTACTTTTGCTGGGAAAGTACCTGACAATATCCCAAGGGTCCCCAGTCGACCCAAATTAGAGTTATGTGCTGGACCCACCATCGGCAGTCGTCGTCATCTCAGTGTGGATGATCTTTTACCAGACATTTCCCAATCATGGAGTCCTGGAGTTCAACGTGCTGGTGTTCAACTGTCTGGGTCACCCATGGATAGCTGACTCATAATGAAATTCGGCGCAAAGTGGCGATCGCTATCTCAAAATGAGATCCGTACGTCAGAAGGTCACTGATGAGACAATATTGCTCAATTGGATTATGTCAACTTGTCTTTCTTGATTTTTCTCCGTTGTCGTATCAACTGCACCTGGATGTGACAAAACTCGCTGTTCGAGATCCACATGCAGGAGGGTATAGAATTGGCTACGAATCATAGAGAAATGAACGTCCAAATCAGACACTTAGAAAAGCTAAGGCAGCAGGACGATCAAGAAGGCAGGATCTATCATGGCATAAAACGCAGTGGAGAGAATAGAAATGCAAAAAGTGGCGCTAGATCAAACCACGGCTACCACGCATGACTTCCAAGACAACTCGGGATACAATCATCGGCGATCGCAACTAGCCAGACAAATGTGTGATGGCCAGCTTATCTCTTTTCCTCCTTCACTCGGCTGTTCTCCATCTTGTTGGCTTCGTCCGGTTCATCCGCGTTGGCTTTCTCTTCCGTTGCCTTTTCTCTCCGTCTGTTCAATTCTGGCGAAAAGCAGCGGTATACTCATCCAGGTCCCACGCCAAAATCCCGATTTTCATCTTTCATCTTTTCCAGCTTCCGAGCCACTAGTTGTTCCATCTGAGCTTTTTCCTTCTCGTCCATCAGACCGACCATCTTTTCACGCTTCCCCGGGACTCTCATTGGGTCAAAATAAACCGTGGGTCAATTTTCTGCTGATAGATTGCATCAAACGCAAAGCTGTGCGACACTGCATACATAATCCAGAAATCTCTGCTCTCCCAACTCTGTTGCATAGGACCGGAGAGTCGCTGGTCTT